TGACTAGCCCCCAATTAACAAAAAATCCTGGGCTCTAATGAGCTTCCCTGGTTGGCAACTGTGTAGCTGTCACACCTAGTTGCTGGAACATTATGCACTTGGTCTCCTTTTGCTATATTCAATCAGCTGGGCTTCTTAGCAAGTCATTGAACCCAGGGATGCCCTGACACTCTGCTCATATTTAATCTTTAAAAACAGATTGGCTCAGAAGGTTTGTATCATTAAAAGTACCCTAAGATGAAAAAGTAGTTTCACATTCAGCCACACATCTCTTAGCCCTCACGATCGGTTAGCTTATAATGTAAGGATGTCAGGAGCAGGAAGATGTAATTGAAAGGCTTTTCTTTAAGCACAATATATGAACACAGTTATATAAGCACATTCCTCAGGAAGTGTGCTCAGACAAAGTGTGCAGAATACTAACGCCAAAAATATAAACACTTAACGAATTTTTTCCACCTACAATCACTAACAAACACTAGCACTGCATAACAAACGCCTTTGTTAGAATATACATTTCACTATTTATACTGCCAAAAGTTACATCACGTATTGTTTCTGTGTTCACAATGAAATGATTTGAGGCTCAGTTCATTGGTACCTAGCTTAGAAGTTACTGGGAAAATATACCATTTCCCTGATTCTCACACTATCCATATTGTAAAATAACAATTCTTTTTAACAGCTTTTGAGAAGTGGACAGATGACATTCCACACCACACTGAATGTACCAAAAACTGCAAGATGCATCACCATTTCAGAAATAGCTAAAAAAGACATATCTTAGGATCTAAGAAATATGATAATTAAACAACAGAATACTTTGTACAGAGGAGTACAGCCCACACAGCCTGCCTATAAACCTCACGGACCACCCAAGCAGAAGTGAGAATAAATATTTGTATAAAGCTTGGGGGGGGGGGCAAGCTTTTAAAAAACAATTTATACAAATTCTAAACCATTCTTTTCTACACCTAAAATAACATAATGTTCTATGGCAATTATATTTCAATTAAAAAAAGTAAAAAGGCAATTATACAGCTTGAATTGACTATAATCATTGCAATGTAAAATTATTAAATCAAAAGAAACATTCACAATTCACATTTTACTGCCAACAGATTTTAATTTAAAAAAACACACACAACACACCAACTAATCTAAACAACTCTTAAGGATTAAAACTCTACAAGAAAATCAATACCCATTCTACGGCCAACAAACATAAACAGAGCCTTCCTATTGTTACTAGTAAGTGTCCTAACCTTGTCTACGGGAAATTACTGACAAGAAGCCATCAGCAGCTTTTTATTTAAAAAAAATTTTTTTTATTGATTTCAGAGAGGAAGAGAGAGGAGAAACATGAATGATGAGAGAGAATCGTTGATCAGCTGCCTCCTAGGCATGTGCCCTGGCTGGAATCAAACCCTGACCTCCTTCCCGGTTCACCTCACCGTGGGCGTCTTTATCATCTCCGCGCTCAACCCCTGGGCCACGCCCGCCCGCCCATAGCACGGCCTCCGGAGGGCAGGGCGCAACCTGCACACACCCAGAACCTAGCAGAGGCACACCCGGGGTCCCAAGAAATGTCTGCTGAATGCATTTGCTCCCCGTTTTCCTCTTTTGTATGTAACTTTAGAGAAATATCTCAAAAGCTTTGCAGAAAACAAAGTTGGGGGAGCCCAGACGGTGTGCGCAGTGGGGATTGTTCTGATGGCAGCTGGCCCTGGGTGTTCAGCCGTGTGGCCGGCGCTGAAAGGCGCTGGGTGCCCGTGGGTGTCCGTGCGCTCCAGAGCGCATCCCACCGCGCGGCGGGGTCAGGAGCCTCGTTAACACACACACCTCCGGGCCGCATCAAGCCTGGCAGCCGGCCGGGGACCTGCGCTGAGACTGTAAGTTCCCTGCGTGCACTTCAGATCCACCAGCGGAGAGGATGGTGGTCCGGCAGCTCAAGTAAACGCGCACCACGCCCGACAGAGCCGCTGGGCGCCTGCAACAGCCGCCGAGGCCCACGGAAGTGCCTGTGGGTCCGAGAGGGAAGCCGGGCCCCTGCTGACCGAGCGCCCCGACGGGCAGGTGCTGGTTGTTAGGTGGTGCCGTGGCTGTCTGTCCAGCTCACGGACTCCCCCTCGCTAATGTGCTTTAGTGATCGAGGCCAGCGAGGCAAAAGCCATCCCGGCGACGGTGGGAGAAACCTGCTCCCCCGCCGCAACCGGAGCCCCGAAACCAAAGGCCGCCCGGGCTCAGCGAATGCGCGGTCCTTAGGCCCTCGCCTCCCAGGGCTTCGGTCCCGAACGGAGCGCAGCCGGTCTCTCTAACCTGTTGGATAGCCCCACGCGGGGCAGCTGCGCTGGACACATGCGGTGACAAGTGGACTGTTGGGAGGGGAGGCTGCAAAGCTAAAGTCGGGGTGGGACCACAGAGACGCCCCAGCCCGCGCTTCCCTCCCGCAACTGTATTAAAGGGTCGTGGCATTAGGAAGGTTGAGAACCACTGCTCTAGATGCACATATAATTTCTCCAAACTCTTAACAGATGGTTGTTGGTGCCAATTCATTGCCAACAGGAATCCCCAATTTGAAGTACAGTAAAAAAGGAAACTTCATTCAGTGCAAACAGCTCAATTGTGATACAGCACAGCTGTGAAAACAGAATGGCTATGGAACAGCTCAATAGTGTTACAACTCAATTATAAAGCAGCATGACTGTGAAACAGCGTTGCTGGGAGGTGGCCCTCTCCTCTCCCTTGCTCCTATCCAGCTAGACAGCTCTGATCTGCTCCAGCCTGCTTTGTGTGCCCCAGTCCACCTTGCTCTGCCACAGTAAGCCTTCTTCAGTCCTAGGTAGAAAGGGAAAGTGCACTCCCACAGAGGGGAGCTGACTTAAGGAGAAGTCCCCACTTACACCCACGTCTGTTTCTCTCTAGCTCCGTGGACTGATGGTGAGTGCTGAGCATCAGCATGTTCCTAGAACCACAAGCCAGAAACCTGGGAGGCAGCCTAGATTTCTCCATTGATACAAAGCTATAACAGCTACCATATTGAATGTTTACCTTTTTCTAGACCCAGTGCAAACACAGGTCTAACCTTTCAGAGCACTGCCATTCAGCCTTTAGAACAGGGGTCCTCAAACTTTTTAAACAGGGGGCCAGTTCACTGTCCCTCAGACCGTTGGAGGGCCGGACTATAGTTTAAAAAAAAACTATGAAAAAATAAAATTTAAAAAAAACATGAACAAATTCCTATGCACACTGCACATATCTTATTTTGAAGTAAAAAAACAAAACTTCAAAAAAAGGCCCTACTAACTGCAAAATAAATAAATAAAAAATAGACCTCCTAACTTCAAAAAAAAATAAATCCTAACTTGTTCTTACCTCGGTCCTCAGGCAGCAGCAGGCTCTGCACAGGCAAGCTCATGACTCATCTGATCACACCCTGATCACACCCGAGACTGAGAGGAGTCAAGAGACAGAGAGAAGGAGAGTATGGTGCACATTGGGCACTGCGGGCCTGGGACAGTTGGCTGCTAAGCAACAGGCAGCTGCAGCAAAAACACCCGGGGGCCACATGTGGCCCACGGGCCGTAGTTTGAGGATCCCTGCTCTAGCACAACCTTGTTCCTTTCCTGGGGAAACTGAGGCCAGGAGAGGGAAGCGAGTTTCCAAGTGAAGGGAGCTGGGGGCGCCGGTGCGCCTGCAGCTTTCCTCTGAGCTTCCTACGCGATGCGGTGCTTTTTTATACTAAGTCAACTGCAATGTATATCTCTTTGCTCCCAGAGAGAGAATTAATCCTGGTTTAAAGGATACTGGAAACTTTTTGTTACTGTGGCTATAGAAACAGCAAAAGCGATTGTTAAGTAATCTGGGCCTAAGGCTCTCCTTGGACTCTAACGTGGGAGGGGAGGCCGAAGGAGTGACAGCCTGTGCTCGGGCCTGTACCTTTCTTTGCTCCGTAGACAGAGAACCACCCAAAGGAAGTGACTTCACTGTCAAGTTAATTGGGACCTATGGCTGCTTCTTATGGTCCAGGGACACATGAGCAAATGGGGACAAAGTATATGCCGTGGCTAACGCTTGTTTCAAAGTTACAATAACAGGAAGCCTTGAACTGAGTCCTTCCTTTCTGGGAGGCACCATGCACTAGGTCAGTGGTTCTCAACCTTCCTAATGCTGCGACCCTTTAATACAGTTCCTCATGTTGTGGTGACCCCCAACCATAAAATTATTTTCGTTGCTACTTCATAACTGTAATTTTGCTACTGTTATGAATCATAATGTAAATATCTGATATGCAGGATGTATTTTCATTGTTACAAATTGAACATAATTAAAGCATAGTGATTAATCACAAAAACAATATGTAATTATATATGTGTTTTCCAATAGTCTTAGGCGACCCCTGTGAAAGGGTCGTTCGACCCCCAAACGACCCACAGGTTGAGAACTGCTGCACTAGGTGTTTCATAGGTGCCGCTCTTCATCCTCACCACCGCTGTGATCACCTCCACAGTACAGTTGAGGAAACTGAGTCAGCAGAGGTTAAGTCACTTGCACTGTTATGGGTTCACTCAGCGAGATAGACCACCGACTCAGAATTTAAATTTAAGAGCCTTTATTAAGCTGGCCAGCTAACTACAGTTATAGCACTCTGCTGAAGCAGAGGCTGAACTGCAGCCCTGATTTCCATGGCCAGCGACTACAGTTACAGCACCCTGCCGGAGCAGAGGCCGAGCTGCAGTGCTGACTGCAAGAGTTACATTTTATTATTAAATTTTGTGGAGGCCCAGAGAAAAATGTGTCTTTCAAATTCTGGGCCCCCCAATATGGAGGAAACTCTCTTTATTTATACTTTCTCCAGTCTTTTGTCTCCAAAATTTGGAATGAGACTTCCGGGCCTTCTGAGAAAGAAGGCCTGCGTGCTGGGAAGGGGCCATGAGACCATATCTCAAGGCCTGGCCTGATGTCAGTACCTTCCTATCTATGTGTTTTAGGAACAAACAGCACAGCATGACCCGTCTGGCCAAAGCGCCAGATATGCAGCCCAGCACAGCACAAGGTCACACGGGCAGGAAGTAGAAGAAACAAGACTGGAGCCAAACCAGTCAACTGTAAGTTCTTTTTCACTGTGTTCTACCTCCCACTGTAACCCACACGCTCCCTGTCAGATTCCAGTCAGAGAGACCCAGAATTCACATCAAATTTATCCCTTTAAGGTGGGGGGGCATCACCCTAGCCAGTTGGCTCAGTGGATAGAGCATTAGCCTGCAGACTGAAGGGGCCCAGGTTCGATTCCGGTCAAGGGCACATGCACGGGTTGCAGGCTCGATCCCCAGTATGGGGCGTACAGGAGGCAGCCGACCAATGATTCTCTCTCATTGCTGTTTCTATCTCTCTCTCCCTCTCCCTTCCTCTCTGAAATCAATAAAAATATATTTAAATAAAAAAATAAAATGGGGGACAACTGTAATACTGTCAACAATGTTTTAAAAATAGCCCTTTGAGAAAAAACTACCAAAAAAAAGTAAAGTACAACCACCTCTAATCTACTTGACATGACATATTGGTAATATACTTTGCTCTTCATTTTTACTATAAATTTCTACTCAAGATAATAATTTACAACAGTATTGATGTTACAGGGATTCAGAAAATGGTGAACTCTCACACATGTCCTTCACGTGGGACAGCAGTATTCCGTGTCTGCCATGGAGAGAAGTCCCAGTGTCAGCACAGAAAACCATGGGCCAGCACATCAAATCCCGGGATGGCCGACAGAAATCAGCTCTGCGAGGGAAGAGCAGACATCTTGCAGAGGAGTTCCCCTGGGGCAAAATTAGTCTCTGCGATATTTTCATTATAATCCAGATGTCTTAGCATAGCTAGCGAAAACATCATGTTCCTTCACCTTTAAACCTGAATGCAATGCCTGCCATGTCTGTAAAGAAAAGGAAGAGGGAGGGAAAGTGAGGAAGAGGGCACTGAGAGTGAGAATAGCCCATTATTTTGTCCTGGGAGTTTGTAGAATCTATGGTCTCCCTAATGTACTCTTTAAAGTACTTTTTCTTTATTTTTAGCTTTAAGATGATTGAGTATAAAAGCTCTTCCAGAGGGCAGGAAGCAAACTACGGTCCAGTCCCCAACTTATTTATTCCAAAGGGGCATCAAAAAGTCAGTCATTTTGTTTCTGTGATTTTTTTTTCTCACGAAAACAATATCATAGGTAGCTCAGTCCTGCTGGCCACTGGACCAGCACTGCTCAGTCTCCCTGAGGGACTGGTCATGGCCCCAGTCCCCGGATCCTCAGCAGGTGGGTGAACCTTAGCAGGTGCAACCTTCCCTCGTGGTACCGCTTTGAAATTCTTAATCACCTAACCTTTGGTTTGGTTTTGTAGGTAAAGTGTGTTGGAACAAGGGAGCATGCACTGGGCCTTGCCACCTGCAGTTCTGCCTCCTGCCGCGTGGGATGGGATCTGTGCCTCCTTCCCCATGCCCCGCCCCAGCCCCGCCCCTTGCCCACAGCTGCCCTCCGCCCCTGGCAGGGCCTGTCCACAGATGCAGGAGGATGGGATGGGCGCACACCCCACAGGGTTTCTCTGCCCTGCACGGGCAGCGCCACGGTGTGCTTGGAGGGTGACTGAGCTGGAGCAAGCCTCCTTTCACAGTGACTCACTCTCCATTCAGTGTAAATATGACCTCATCCAAGATACAACCTAATTAACAAAACATGTTTTAAGTTATTTTGGGATGGTGTGATTGCTCTAAAAATCCCTTTGATCTGTGGGTTTATGTTTATGACAGTTCTTTAAAGTGCGAAACGCTTGAAACGTCAACATTAATATTCTCTGAAAAAGTAGAGTAAATGAATGTGGATGCAAGCACTTCCTTTCTCAGATTGCCTTGTTCAGTTAGCTTGTCATTTTGGAAAGATTGGTACCCATGTGTCACTCCACCACCCCCCCCCCCCCCCCCCCCACGGGCCCTGCTCTGTGCGTGACAGGGTAGAGCCATAACCTCTCCATCAGCCCTACCGATTGGTTGCCTCCTGCAGGCTGGGGAGGAGCTTGCAACCAAGGTAAGTGCCCTTGACCGGAATCAAACCCAGGACCCTTTGGTCTGCAGGCGATGCTCTATCCGCTGAGCCAAACTGGCGAGGGCTATATGTCACTTTTAAAGGACACAGACTTGTATACCAAACTTCAGAAAGTCTTATTACCGCACAGTAGGAAATATGTTTTTACAATGTTGCTAAAGACATGGCAACTTTCATCTACTTTTAATTGGCTAAGGCAGGGAGTACTCAACTGTACACTTCTGTAGGAACCTTGGAAGCCCTCTTGTAGAAAATGCGGAGCTTGCAACCAAGGTAAGTGCCCTTGACCGAAATCAAACCCAGGACCCTTTGGTCCGCAGGCGATGCTCTATCCGCTGAGCCAAACCAGCGAGGGCTATATGTCACTTTTAAAGGACACGGACTTGTATACCAAACTTCAGAAAGTCTTATTACCTCACAGTAGGAAATATGTTTTTACAATGTTGCTAAAGACATGGCAACTTTCATCTACTTTTAATTGGCTAAGGCAGGGAGTACTCAACTGTACACTTCTGTAGGAACCTTGGAAGCCCTCTTGTAGAAAATGTTTCTATAATGTACTGACCCTAGGATTTAAATTTCGAATGACCTAATTGGTAATAAAACCTAGATCAATGTTTCATACAACAAATTAAGTATCAATATATTCCAAAGAAAACTATTATTTTTCTCAGTGACTGTGAGATCTCTCTTCCAGGCTTGGCCCCATCATAGAGCAAAAAAGTATGAGTCAGCAGCTGACTGAAACAGGAGACCACCGGCAATGTTGAACTTTAACTGAGCCCCTGGGTACTCAGTGGAGAAATCCACCACCACCCCCCCACCCCCCCGGAACAGGCTTATAAGTGGCACAATACAAAATGATAGAGGGGAAAAATAAACTAAAACTGAAAAAGTTTCTTCAACTACAGAAACCTATCCCCCAGAGCCCCTGGGGAGACAAGTGAGTGAGTCTGACACGGCAGATTCTAGTTGCAAACAGGGATTCTTACAAAGGAAATAAAGGCTGAGATTTGGATATAGCTAGGAATTTCATTTGTTTCTGAAATAAATTTATGTCTAAATATTCTATATGTTGCTACTTGCAACCCATTATCCTACCTGATAAAAGGGTAATATGCGAATTAGCCATCACCCTTTCACAAAGATGGCGGCACCCAGTCCTCTCAGCCCCGCTGGAGTCCCCCAGTCCTGGGGGGGAGGGGGCCACCGCTGAGAGTGGGCAGCGTGAGCGGCCTGGCGGAATGCTTGCCTTGGCCGCAGATGGGCCTCTGGCCAGGCCAGGGTGCAGAATGCTTGCTTAGGAAGAGAAGGAACCAGCAAGCTGAGCAGAGTCAAGTGGCCCCCGACTCCCAGGCAAGGTCAAGTCCGGGCGGCCAGAGGATGGATGGGGTGGAGGATAGTGTGACAGGCAGGGCTGGTGGCGGAGGCATGGGGGTGAAAGCCAGCCGAGAAAGAGGAAGGAAGCCCTATATCGGAGTTCCTGAGAACAGGGAGGGAAGTCGTTTGCATTTCCCAGCTGCGGATGGGCCTCTGAGCAGTGGGCACAGAGTGGCCAGGCCTCGAAGAGAGCTACTGGCTCACGGATTCATGCGCAGGGCTACTAGTAATAGCATACAATAGGAAATAAGCAAATGTCCTGCAGGAGGAGGCGGGTTAAGTAAACTAGGTGAACCCATTCAGTGGACTGCTCTACAGCATTAAAAGTTAGTTTGCAGCAGGCTGGTGTGGCCCGTGGTTGAGTGTCAACCCATGAACCAGGAGGTCACAGTTCAATTACCAGTCAGGGCACTTCCCCAGTAGGGGGTCTGCAGGAGGCAGCCAATCAATGAGTCTCTCTCATCATTGATGTTTCTATCCCTTTCTCCCTCTCCCTTCCTCCCTCTGAAATCAATAAAAACATTTTTAAGTTAGTCTGCATGGGAAAGAATGGCATAACAATTGTTTATGAAAAAAATGTAAAATAAAAGAAACTTGTTTATGATCCAGAGAAGAAAGTCTGATTACAAATGGCTTAACTTAGATACATTTCTGAATAGAATGCAGTTCAATGAGTCAGGGACTAGGTCCATATTTCATTTCTATATCCCCAGCACAGTGTTCATTATGATATGTGTTTAAATTAATAAATGTAAGTAATAAATGTAATAAATGTTTCCATTTGAAAAAATACGTTATGCACAGGAAAACTCTAAGACCATACATTAAAATGTTAACTGTTTAATTCTGAGTGGATGATTCTTCTTTTGCCAATTGGTATTTTAAATTTTTATAATGAAATTGTATTCATTTTTTTAACCAGAACAAAAATAATAAAATTAAGTTAAAAACATACCTCTTTTTAGCTTTTCCAGTGCAGTTCTACAAAAGAGCCCATTTCTATATTTAGGCAGTTTAGAGTTGGCTGGCTGTTTCTTAATCTTAGGAAGCAGTGTATTTTCTGACATCCTTGCATTTTATCCCAGCTTACCCCTCAGTGAGCAATCACACACAGTCCGTTTCGGATTGTGATCAGTAAATGAAGTGAAAATCAAAATGAGGTAACCATTATGTGCTGTCTGTCACTCATGCGTTTCCCATGTAAATGGCATTTCATTCTGCTTGAAATAAGAACTGAGCCAGAAACTGTGTTGCTCCCTGACAGAAATGAAGCTCATAGGAACAGCTCTGTCCTCATAGACTTCACAAGCCACCACCAATTTGAGGAGAAGAAATTGGCTAAAACCCTGGGAGCTCATCTGAATGCTCTAATAATTCCCTAGAGCAGTAAACAAATGTGATTTCTCAGTGTTAGAAATTTATCACTGAAGAATACAATGCCTGCATGTCTGGACATTAACCAAAGTTATGTTTGATGGGCTCAACCACTATGCATGAATGCTCAAGAGCAACGCCGAGTGTGTGTGGAGTGCGAGAGATCAGCCCTGTAGCCAAGATGGCCCCGTGTATTCAGCCACGCGTCTGACTTAAAACTGTGAAATGGTGTGCCCAGCAGAAGCATCGGACATCCTGAATGTGATAGGTCAAAGCAGAAGAAAAGCAGCAATGTCAGAAGAACCAGAGTTGGAAGAAGGGAAGAGTGTAGATTTGTTCTGTTTGCTTATAGATTTGTCCTTTTAAAAAAAACAAACACCAATTATATACAGAGTATATCAGAATCAGAAATGTTAATCCAACTGCAGTGCTCTGCTCAAATCATTGCAACAAATTCCTAAAGAACCACCTAAAATATTACTCTGTTCTGTCTTTTAAAAATATAGTCCTATGAAAATACTATCCCCTTTAAATCAGGCTTAAAAACCGTTAAGTAGTTATAAATTTTATTTATGGTCTATCTACAGTTAAATGGGAAAAAGTTTTTAATAAATTATATTAGCTCAAGTTTGGACAGTTTCCTAGAAAAATATAGCCCTTGGACAGTTTTGAAAGAATTGGAAAAGTTGTATCAATAAATAAAATGAGCCTGGCCAGCATGGCTCAGTGGCTGAGCGTCTACCTATGAGCCAGGAGGTCACAGTTCCATTGCCGGTCAGGGCATATACCTGGGTTGCAGGCTCCATTCCCAGTAGCAGGTGTGCAGAAGGCAGCCCATCAATGATTCTCTCTCATCACTGATCTCTCTCTCTCTCTCTCTCTCTCTCTCCCCCCCCCCCCCCCCCCCCCCTTCCTCTCTGAAATCAATAAAAAAAATTTTTTTTAAGAAAATGAAATATCTCAGAATTAACCCACCCATGAGGGAAGTCATAATAGAAAAAGAATTTGCTTTTAAATCTTTTGCACCCAAGGGTAACATAAGTTTCTGGAACGCTATGTCATTCATGGCAGAGAATCAAGACCAATGTTATTGGAAACAAGGAAGAAGTTATTTGCCTCTTTACCTGACATGAAAGAATTCAAATCAATTTGGTTTACTTTATGGTGAAATAAATGACAAAACACTGAAAGTAATACTCTGTTTTTATTTCCCTTAATTCAATCCCAGGAATCAAAATAGGAAGGGAAATATTTTATACTTCCTATGAAGGCCTTGTCTCTAAATGGAGTCTTTTTCACAAAATACTCTACACAAAAGTATGCACACTGCCCATCTACAACATGAATGCGGATCATTGGAGGTTTTTCTACTTAACAAACATCTATTTAATACCCACTTGACCTGATTTACTTGGTTCAACCAAAGTTACCAAAGGTTACTATGAGATAAATACATTTTATTCAATTTGTTGCTCAACACCACGTCTGGAGCATCTTCAGTTGTCTGTAAGTTGTCTGTAAATTGAGAGCCCACATCCCTTCATGGGTGTCATTTTCCTTCTTTTGGTTCCCTTTTCAGAACTCAGGAAGTGTGCCTACCTCTGCTCTAACACCCATGACGTCTGTCACTTCGTACAACTACCAGCTCACTGTTCTTGCAGGTCAATAAACATTTGGTGAATAAAGTAACTAATGAAATACCTCCAAAAGCTATGAAAACTATACTCAACTACAAAACATACGAAGCCATTGCAGTGTGACGTATTACTTTAATATTGGGATGGGAAGACTGAGCAAAGTTTATAGTTTTTTGTACCCCTTGGACTCAATAACGTAAGGGGCGTGTCAATGCCATAAGATAAAAGCCACGAGGGGAGATGGTGGAGGGAAGGTCTTCGAGGAAGCTCAGCTGTGTGGGTGTCCACAGTACACCTTCATGTTGATGTTCTTCCTGGGGAGGATTCAGCTCAGATATTTTGGCACTTGGCTACCACTAAGGAACCAAGTCCCCTTATGTTATAGTCACAGTCC